AGCAAAAAAAAGCCGGAAGTGGCACTGTGGTTCAAGTGGTAAAGCGCTAACCTTAAGCTGAAGAGCTGAGGGACAGTGCCCAGAGTTCAGGCCCACGACCGGACCCCCCCCCCCAAAAAAAAAGAATGGAAAGAATGATCAACCACCACTTCTGGTAAACAAATTTATTTTTCTTTTAGTGACCCCAAGCTAATTGTGACTTTGCCCATTGCTTCACCAAATAAAATAGAGACTTGTTATATTAGTGTTTTCTTTCCCCACACAGTCATTTTCCCGGGACTAGGGATACATTCCAGATAAATGGTCTGGGTTAATGGACTCTGATAGAACCCTAGGATGCTTGATATATTGTTAGAACTTATTGTTATGCGGCAGATATAGCTTGGCAGGTCTGGAAGAACATGGAGATCATGTATTACATTTCTGCGGTTGTACATGTTCATGATTAAAGCAGCCTTCAAAAGGAAGGCCTAAAGGTAGGCAGGGAATTGGACAGGTATAATTAATCTTAGAGTTTCTCATGTGCTCAGGGGAAGGGGCACTTCTGTGGAGCCTCACATTGAGATGTGAGAAGAAAATGATACTTTCAATCTAAAAGGCTACTTTCTTAAAAATTTACAAAGGGAAAAATACATAGCTATGTTAACTTTTAAAACTTTTTCCTCCAATAAAGCAGCAGAAAGGAGCACATTCAGCCTACTGAATTCCTTCTGGCCTAACACCCATGCAGCCAGCACCTTAGATGCCCTTTGTGACCCCTGCCAGCCCCTCACCACTGCTCCTGATGGAGAAAGGCCTCCTATCTTGGCTCCCCAAGTCACCGATTTTACTACTTTATACAAATGAAATTATACTCCCTTGGGTATTACAATAACAACAGCAGCAACAATCTTGCCACACTGCAAGCTCTCATTTACCACAAACAACATTTTTTTTTCCTCAAAAATTGGTTTGGGTTCATTGTAACTTCTCTATGTTGCCATTTTGGTAAAAACAAGCTGTAATTATCCTATCCTTTCTTCATAATGGACTTGTAAATTTACTTCCCAATGTTCAGGAACTGAGTTTTTTTTTTAAACTAAATCCCTTATAACTTATTTAAGAATCTGTTTATAGACCCTTGACCCCTTGCTTTAAATCCCTCAGTGCTGGTCTCCTTTGATGTGTAGTTTCATACTGCCTAGTCACTGACCTTCCTCCCAGGTGCAGTGCTCACTGAGATTTACATCTCATCTGATCACTAACTGGGTGTCCAGTGGAGATCGAGGTGTAGCTTGAAGGAAGTAAGAATGCAAGATGAGATAGAGGAATTATAAGCACAGTCCTGCCTTCTTCTAACATGTGTTGAGTCCAAAAACTTTGAAGAACTTATCTGCCCTTTCTGCTTCAATTCTTCCAATGCTTTGCCTAGAAGATCAGTGCTATGACTGTGGCCTTGAAGGACTTTTACCTGTGTGTGTGTGTGTGTGTGTGTGTGTGTGTGTGTGTGTGTGTGTGTGTGTGTGTGTGTGTACTAGTTATGGGGATTGAACTCTGGGTCTAGGTTCTGCTCTGAGCTTCTTTGCTCAAGACTGGAGCTCTACCACTGGAGCCTTAGCTCTGATTCTGGCTTTTTTTGCTGGCTAATTGGAGATAAGAGCCTTACAGACTTTTCCTGTCCAAGCTGGCTTCAAACCATGATCCTCAGATCTCAGCCTTTTGAGTTGCTAGGATTACAGGTATGAGGCACTAACACCTGGCCAGCTTTTCACTTTCTGACTTCCTTTACTGCCCAGCTATTTATATTACATTTCAAGGTATCCTAGATTTCAGTTTAAGCATAAACTTTCTTGTGAATCCAGCAGCTGTTTTAGGTTCTTACTAAGTTATATTAGTATTTCTCAAAATTTGGTGTGCCTAGAAATACTCTAGGAAGATAAAAATGGATGTAAATGACTGCATACTGTTAGTTCACCACTGTAGTTCTAGATACTTGAAAGAGATCAGGGGAACTGAAGTTGGATGTTTGACCAAACAAAAAAATTGGTGAGGTCCTATGTCAACCAATATGACTATGGTGGTGTACATCTGACATTCTAGTTATGCCAGAAGCTGAAACAGGAGGACTGTGGTTCCAGGCCCATCTGGAGTGGTTCACAAGACTCCTCAACACAAGAGCAACTGAGTTGAGGAGAATGCACTTGTCATTTCAGTTATAGTATGCGGTTAAATAGGACAATTTCAATTTAGGCCAGCTGGGCAAAAAGAGGTGATATCTCAAAAATAACCTGAGCAGAAAGGTGCTATAGACAGAGCTGAAGTGCTAGAATGACTACCTCCCAAGCATGAAGCCCTGAGTTCAAATCCTGATACTGAAAAAAAAAATGAAGATAACTGAGTTCTGGCTTTAAAGTGTGACTGCATTAATTGTCAAGGTGATTCTGTCTTGTGAGAACCCTACTATTGCAAGGAACATTTCTCAGGTCTTTCAAACCCTATTTCTGTAAATTCTTTATGTAAATGAGATTTTATGTGAAACAGCAAGGTGCTAATGTACTAATCCTCCACAGCTCATAATGGAACTGCCATGGCTAAAGTGGGGTTGGTAGGGGATTCCAGCATCCAACCCCACTAAGGTTCCAAAGCCTCTCATCTGTAAAGCTTCATTTGTATTTAGTGCAGACACTGAACCATTTAAGGTGGCACTAAGATGCTGCTGGGGCCTTCCTGAACATAATATGATATAATGGGCATTGTTCTATAGATTCATAGACTCAACGTTAGAGCTGGAAGAAACCTGAGAAGATGTTTAGCCCTGTCTTCTAATTTTCCCAGACTGCACAGATGTAGTGACTTTTTGAACATCTTACAGCAAAATTCTGACAAGTACGGGCCAGAAACCAGGCCTTGTCCCTCATAATCTACTGCATGATACCGCCATTACACCAGTACATTGCTTTCCATCTCACTACACCATGATTCTAGCTAGACTTAATTTTACAATGTGGCAGGACAAAGAAGTTGATGTGTTAGCTAAGGCAGAGTTTAGTGAGCACCATGTATCTGAAAGATACTTCAATATTGTAAAATTTGTTCTTAGATTCTCTCTTATACTAAGAACAAATCAGTCCAAACAGAGCATTAGAGCTGTTGTACCATTTGCCATAACTTTAGTAGATATGACAAGAGGGCTAATCTTCCTGTGGGGCCTCTATTGTCTTTGCCTGGATACAAGAGGGTTGCTTGACCACTGGCTTAATAAAGATGTGCAGTTCATCAATGAACCAACAGCATAACAATCCCAACCTGAGGCCAAATATTCCCACTTAGAATCACCAAAATAGAATTTTTCTTTATGAGAATTTAGTAGTAGCATCCATTTGGAGGTATGCTATTTGGTAGGGGTAATCTTTCATGTCCTCCCTACTGATAGGGACAATCTTTCAATGTCTTATGATCTTAGAAAGCAAATTTTTGGTTCTGTTTCTTATTCTTCTTATTGCACTTCCAGTTTTTTTAATGAACTACTAAATTAAGATTATGTCTAGCCTTTGTGGAAGGTGAATGTAGGAATTAGTAGTTTTAAAATATTATTCCACTTAAAATCAATAGTTGATTTATTACATGCTGTGTGCCAGGCATAGAAGTAAGTACATTTGGACATCTTCCCCCTTAACTTTCCTGATTTGTTACCAATATAGCCATTCAGCATGCATATATATCTAATTTAGTTATTTCAAAAATGTTTCTAGCCTTGAGGATATGTTGGGGGGGTTGGTGTGGGGGAGTAGCTTTCTATTTTGAGGAAGTGGAAAGTATACAAAAATGTGTTTTCTTTTCTGTCTTAAATACATAGATTTAGAGCCAGAGTTTAGTGATAACTATCTTGGAAGCCTGCCAGTATTTCTTTCTGTTCCCTTTAGATGGTCTCTGTTCTTCTTTGTTGTTGTTTGTCAGTTTTATTTCTAATTGATCTATTCTTCGTTTTTCAAAGTGAGAACAACTATAAACATTCTCAGGGAAAGAATGATCATTTGTTTTCCAGCTTGGACATATAGTAGGTGGTTAGGTTATCCCGGCTTTATAGAGACAGGAATCAGAAAGGAGTGATTGGTTCTCAAAATGTTTGAAAAGGGAAGTAAGCAAGAAGTAGAAAAAAAAATCCATGGAACAGATTCTAGGGTCGGGAAAGTGGCTACCAAACACTCTGTCAGGTACTTTCCACTTAGTCCATGTGGCAGAGGTTGAGTACAGGTCTTTCAGAAATGTCCTGGTGATGGGATTGTAGCTACACCACCAGAATTCAGATCTGGCAGGCTGGCTCAGCGGGAGTCTGTCTACCTTGGACTGTGAGTGGCCTGGATTTGTTGCTGTCACCATGGCACTTCTCTGCCACGGGTTTTGCTTTCTCTTGCCGGTTGTTGTAAATTATAATATGCTGAGATCTACTAAAGAGTTCTTCACTCGCTCAGCTGAAGGATGGCTTTCAGTGCTGGTCTGATGTAGGCTGGGGTATATCATGAAGGTCTTTTCAGCTCTTACCACTGACTTTAAGTACTTGTTCGAGTCACTTCCAGATCAAATACTATAAGTGGTCAGGATTAGACGTGGTGTTTCTTAGAGAAGGCAGATGATCATATAGAGAATTTTGAGATTATTGAACTACTCAGGATAAAAATGCTCGTTAAGTTTTGTATTAAAAAATCATACATATAGAAATATAGTTATAAAGACCTTTCCCGATTAAAGGATAAGACTCTTCAATTTTCATGTTGCCTATAAAAGTTCCTCTTTCTAAACTGCAGCAAAATCCCCAAATTTGCCTCTTGGAAAGAACTGGGCCTACTCTGATCTGAATAAGAAAATAACTAGGTAGCCACAGGAGTGGCATCTTGCGCGGAAGGAAGTCTGCTCTCTGTTTTTACTAAACAAGCTCATACATAAATATATATGTATATAGCTAATGCCATAGCTTAAATGTTTTCAATTATTTTTTGCTTATAGAGATGAATGCAACTGATTGACATGTGATTTAATAATCTTTTAAAACCTTATATTTATTGGAAATTTACAGGGAAGAAATTGTCTTTGCTCTGAAAATGCATTCACCTTTGGGAACGCTCAAATTGAAGTTTGTAGATAATGACACAGTTTGATCATTAGGCTAGCTTAGCTAGTTTTCTTCTGAAGACTGAATTTACTACAGTAGCATGTGACTTGATAAATGAAAATTTCCAGCTATGAGTCTTTCATCTATGTTTTAAAAAAAAGCAGTGAAAATCAGGTTTGGATGAAACTATGCATCAATATCAATTGTAATGTAAATATTGAGTGTATTATGATACAATGGCATGTATCTCTTAAATTGTTGCTTAGATATGAAGGGTGGGGATTTGGGGAGCAGATTTAGAAAGATTCTCCATACTTAGAGATTCTCTAAGAGATCCATATCAGACACACAGAATAGACTTAATAAGTACTAACAACAGTTTGTAAAGTGGGCTGGGAAGAAGGGCCAGACTACATGGTGAGGTATGTGTTATTAGCCCCAAATTATAGCATGTCAGAGAGAGAAAACTGGTGCTGAACTTAATGGACCACGTGAGTGGCCTGAGCTCCTCCTCCTAATCCCTCTGGGTCCCCCATTGATCTTTAGACTGGGAGGCCCGAGTTGACAGCCACGGCCGAATCTTCTATGTGGATCATGTCAACAGAACCACCACCTGGCAGCGGCCCACAGCTCCCCCTGCTCCACAGGTGTTGCAGAGATCTAACTCCATACAGCAAATGGAGCAGCTGAACCGGCGGTGAGCATGAGCTTTGTTTTGTTTTGCTGTGATTGGTCTCTCTTGGGGTTGGGCTTGTGCCTAGCACAAAGTGGAAGATCTGCCATCTCTTTCATCCTGGAAAGTCCTGTCATTAAGTTGTAGCTGTCATCTTTTTGATACATAGACAATCCTTGTGGTAAAACAATACACATTACTTTTGCTTTGAAACTAGAGAGGTGACCCTTCCACCATTTCCAAAGCATTGGTTTTTAGTAAAGTGGAACATGGACATGTATCATTTGAAGCTTGATTTCTAACATCTGAATTCTTCCTTTGTGATGCATCTTTCATATCCACATAACCTTTTTAAAATTACTCATTCTGTTGTTTCAAAAACTACTTGCTAGGGAATACCAATGCATTCTTTCCTTTTGCAATGTAAGAATTTAGTTTTCTTTAGTTAAGGGCTGCATATTTTAAAATGTTACGCTAATTTGTTGGGAACATGTTCCACAAACAATAGAGAGTAGAAACTCTGTGCAAGGAGATTTATTTAAGCAAAAGATGCCCCCAGAGGTCAGGAATGAAGCTGAGAAGACAGTCAAAGTTTGGGGCCCCAAGGGAGACATTAGACCCCACCTTTTAGAAGCTCCTGGAATGTAACTTAGAGTCATGATTTTAGTTATCAGAGTATCCGAAGAACCATGACTAACGAGAGGCCAGAGGAAAATACAAGTGCTATGGATGGGGCAGGGGAAGAAGCAGACTTTCACCAAGCCAGTACAGGTAAGAGCCATGGGTTGGCTTGTTGTTGTAATCTCATAAAAGTGGGAAATAAATAGTGAGTATTTCTAAGAAATACTCAGCTTCCTCTGGACAATTCTTGATTTTCAATAAGACCTGGTAATCCAACTCAAAAAAAAAAAACCAGATTACACCAGAGATCTCTTTTAATCTGTGACCTTTTGTTAATATTAAGAAGAGAATCACGAAAATCAAGAAACTATAAATTGCCATAGGCTCTGAAGCTGTACAATAGCAGGGAAAACAAATCTGACTGATAGAGGGCTTTGTGTAGTGCATGAAAGGCCATATGCTTGATCCCCTATGCCACAAAACAAAAATCACTTGAGAATTCATTAAAATGTGAGTAGTGGCTAGAAATATTCTATTTCATTTTAGTGTAAGTAAGAACAGTTGGGTTTTATCTGCGTGCATTTACAATAAAGCAGAATGTGGTTGGATGGTTGAAATAGCATGTAGATCCAAGTGAACAGAACACTTTCCCTGAAAGCTTTTGTGGTCTGTGCCATCTAGATTTCCGACGGGAGAACGTCCTGCCTCACTCTACCTCCAGATCCAGGCTCACGTTGCTGTTACAGTCTCCCCCCGTGAAGTTCCTCATCAGCCCAGAGTTCTTCACCGTGCTGCATTCTAACCCTGTGAGTAGCTAGTCTGGAAGAATGTGATGGGAAAACAACAGGCCAGAGAGAATTACCCCTCATTTAAGCAATAACAGTCAGACCGATAATCACGAATGCTTCCTGAGCACGTAATGTGTTTCAAGCTCTATGCTAAACACTCTGTGTTTTAATCCACATTCTTGTTTGACAGTCTGCTATAGCAAAATAAACAAACAAATATACCTCACCCCACAACAACAAAAAAACCCTAAAACTGAGTGTCTTACAAACAATGAACATTTGTTCCTCACAGTCCTGGAGTCTGGGAGGTCCAGAATCAGTGTACTCACCCATCTGATGTCAGACAATGGCCCATTTCCTACTTCACAGACGACAGCTTCCCGCTGCATTTTTCTCCTGAGAGAGAGGGAAGGGCTCTTTTGGGCCTCTTATGAAAGAGGGCACTCATGCTACTCATGAAGCTCCATCTTTAAACCTAGTCACCTCCTAGGTCACCTCCTGCCCTATCTCCTAGTATTATCATGTGGGTGATTAGGTTCATATTAGGTGATATAAATTTGGGGGGATACAAATATTCAGACTACCACTGGAGGATCATTCTACAAGTCCGAGGGCTGGGGGCCGGGCATAGCTTACTGAAGATAGTAATTAGAGGAAGGCTGTCTTAGCTGTCATGGAATGACCTAGAATGAGGAAGGCTTTGCCCATAGAAGTCCAGCTGGATATGGCCAAGAGGAGTTGGACTAGGAGCTAAGGAAATAAAGAAGGAACCAGTAAACTGAAAATGACCATAAATATTAGTAATTACCCATGAATAATAAATAGTGATGAATAATAGGGAAAGTAGAATAAGGGATTCTAATTGATGGAATTTACCAAATAGGTTATACACATTAAGTAAAACAGACCAAAGCATAGGAAAAGTAGCAATGAGCATGGCCTAACCCCTGGGGTTGTCCATGAGGTAAATTAGCACATGCCTATTTATTGATGGTAAATATATTTCTGTATTACCCTGTTAGCCTTTCTTTATAAGTGTCTGCCTGGCTTTACTCATCATTACTTCCTGGTTTAAAAGCTTAACATGGAAAAATGAGGAGTTGGGTGGCAAGTGAGTAGGAGTAGCATGTCAGCTGTCTTCCTATCATGAAAGGAGCATTAGACTTGGTATGCATTGCATTAGCAAGCTTTGTTGTGTTTCTGTTATAATCAAGCACTAAACTAAATCCTAGGGACACAACATGACAACATGGGTAGGGCCTTGGAGTTCCAGACTGGAATCCAAGCCTTCAAAAATGCATTACAGGGGCTGGGAAGATGGCTCAATGGTAGAGTGCTTGCCTTGCATGCCTGAGGCCCTGGGTTCGATTCCTCAGCACCACATAAGCAAAAAAAAATGCATTACAATGCCATGACCAAAGCTATGAGGGCCAGTTGGAAAGTTATAGATGATGCAGCGCTGCAGTGAGTGCTTACCTTTTAAGGAGAATGTATGAGGAGAAGCCCTACATGGGCTTGCATGTAGGACAGAGTTAAAAGGCCAAAAATAGGTGCTTGCCCTAGAAACAAAAGTGAGCAAGAGCATTCTAGGCCGAATGAGCTCATTTGTAAAACTAGACATCCATGAAGCTTCAGTGCAGTCTTGATAATTCCTACAGAAGCCCTGATACCAGGTTAGCCTAATTGCAGTTTGGTGTTGATGGTTTGTTGAACATGTAGAACAAACACCAAGGGAAATCAGCCTTTGGGACTAGAGAGGTAAGCGGAAGCCAAGGAACCAAACCTAAACTCATGAACGGAACAATTCTAGGAAGTGACAGACCTTTGTAGACGATGGAATGAGCTAACATTCAGGATTGCCACCAAATACACAAAGAGCTTTGTACTTGGGAGTCAGATGGTATAAGCTCTCTTGACTACCTGTTCATTCAATCAATAGTTATTTAGTGCCTGGTATATTCTAGACTCAGGGGATAAAGTAGAAAACATAGAAGAATGGGATATAAATTTAGCGAATAAATCCAGATAATGTACTGTGACATGAGTCACTTGACGCCTTACAGTGGGATCAATGACTTGGGTGCGACCTGCAGGAGGCACTGTCTCCAGTGGAGTGGACTGAAAGCATCTCCAAGGGAGCCAGCATATGCAAATGTTCATAAATGGCAAGAAGCCAGCCAGGTCAAGGCCTGTGAACTGAGCCTTCCTTGCCAAGGAAGGGAGAGAAGCAGCTTGACAGCAGGAATGTGTTGGATGTGCTGTATAGTAAGGTCAGAGAACGGAGCTGGGATATAGCAGTAGTCTTATGTGATCTGGGAAGACATTCAGGCTTTGTTCTACATGGAGCTTTTAGAGGGCAAGATCGGCTCTAAGAGTAACATGAAATGGTGCTGAATGAAGCCAGGCATCGGTGGCTCTCACCTATAATCCTAGCTACTCAGGAGGCTGAGATCTGAAGATCGAGGTTCAAAGCCAGCCCAGGCAGGAAAGTCCGTGAGAATCTTATCTCCAATAAACCACCAGAAAACTGGAGGTGGTGCTGTGGCTCAAGTGGTAGTGTGCTAGCCTTGAGCTGAAGAGCTGGGGGACAGTGCCCAGGCTCAGAGTTCAAGACCCACGATCCCCTCCCACACACACACACACACACAAAGGTGCTGAGTGAGACCTAGAAGTGCCCTCTATTAGTATAGTGTCAGTATATCCTGGATGAATACAGGCTATATTTTGGACAAAATGCTGACACTTTAGTTAATAGATTGGGATGTATGGATACTACAAAGACTTCAAGAAGAAGCAATTGATTCAAGGAGTTGCTGGCAAATGTTTACCTTATGGTTCTCTGGGAGGAAATACACACACACACACACACATGCACACACACACACACATGCACACACACACACACACATGCAAGTCTCTTTTTCTCTCATGTGCTATAAAATTTGACCACATAAAAGAAGTATAGTGTCCAGTTTATAGATAACAGTAGGATGTATACAGAAAGCTTTGGCTGTTGATAAATAAGTACAGCTCCAACAGGAATATCATTTGTGTTAACAAGTGAGGCAGCAGGGAAAGGGGAACATAGGATTCCTCCTTCTGCAGTAGGTCAGTGTCTTCCTTGGTGAGCCATGCGATAGTGTTTGAATAATGGACTTCCATTTCCGATTCTTCTGTGGGGGGCTATTCATGATGTAAGAGCACAGTTTAAAGTTTAACTTATATTTTTAACATTTTATTGTCTCCATCAATTTCTTATGTCTGGAAAAAGGCAGCGGATTCATTGTGTAAAGTGTCAGTGAGGAAGTCATTTGGGCTTTGGGGATAAGGATAATATGTAAACATGGAAGCCTGGCAGTGTTCCAGTGAAACTTTGTTTACAAACAGACATTTGGCTCATGGCCTAGACAGCTCTCATAAATATAAGTCAAACTCTGGTTTGCACATGTCAATTTCTGCACTGTGAAGACGCCCAACTGTGGTCAATTTCAGGCTTTGAATGAAATTACCATGTAGGGGTTCTGACTTCTTTTTCTGAGTTGTCTCCTCTGTGGTACAAATTCTGTATCCCTGCAGGGTTTCGAATACAGCTGGGTTAGCAGTCATTGGGTTATGGTATAAGGCTTTGGGTTTTTGTTTTTTAACTTGGTAGACTTTTGAAAATAAATGCAGATTCTTAGTTCCTTGGTGGTTCTGGTTCAGTACATCTAGGATGAACTTGTTTTCTTGGTCACATAGGTATTGGTGATGCAATTATTCAGGGGGCTGTAATTTTGGAACTCCTATAAAAAGGTATTTCATTAAATAATCTCACTAGAGGAGAAGAAAAAGGGGGGAAAAGAGACAGTGTAAGCATATATGAAAACAACAGAGAGCTTCTGTGAAAGCTGTTGATCAGTAGGGGTGGGGGTGCTGTGTCCAGAGCTGGTGCTAGCAGGAGTGAGTTGAGCTAACAGGATGAATATGGTTGAAATAGATTGTTTGCAACTCTATGAAAATAGAGCAGCAAAGCCTGGTGAGATTGTTTTGAGGAGTGACAAAGGGACAGCCATACAGTAGGTGAGATGGGTTGCAATATATTGTAAACATGTGTGAAAAAGGACACAATGCACTCTCTCCCTCACCTGTAGTTAATGTAGGCTAATTTTAAAAGGCAGATAAGAAGCAAGCAAACAAATAAATGGCCCCATTGCTTTCATCTGGGCTGTAACTCATGTCGCTCATTACATGTTATCTATTTTGTTTTCATGTTGTTTTGTCTTTGTCTATCGTTGGACATGACTTTTAAATAATTTTATTTTTCTTTGTATTCTTTTTGCAGCATTCCAACTTTTTCTTCCTTCTAACTAGATTGTACTCACTACTAGCTAAAAAGATGGCTTAAGTTCTGAGTGTGTGTATATTAATATAAAGTTTATATTTTGTTGGTTTAAAAAAAGCATATTTCGGGCTGGGAAGGTGGCTCAGTGGTAGAGCGCTTGCCTTGCATGCATGAGGCCCTGGGTTCAATTCCTCAGCACCACATAAGCAAAAAGGAAAAAGCCGGAAGTGGCGCTGTGGCTCAAGTGGTAGAGTGCTAACCTTGAGCTGAAGAGCTGAGGGACAGCGCCCAGGCCCAGAGTTCAGGCCCACGACCGGACCCCCCCCCAAAAAAAGCGTATTTCTCTGACTTATGGATGAAATTAATGTGGTGGAATTCGTGCTAAAGGTCTCAAGGTATTAATAGAGATATTTTTATGTAAAAGCTGTTATTTATTGGATTTTCTTAGTAGAAACACGTAAAAAATAAACTTTCATTTAATTCCCACTCTTCACATCTTTTTTATTTTCAAAGTGATATACAGAGGGGTTACAGTTACATAGGAAAGTAATAAGTACATTTTGTGTCATTTTTATTCTTTTTTGTTTTAATTGCTTTATGATGTATAATTATTTAAGTAGATTTCTTGTTTATATTATTGAAAATACTCAACACATAAAAGGAGTGTTTAAGCCTTTTCTAATTTTTTTGTGTTCTG